TACCCACCTCTTGATAAAGACTCCAACTACAGTGTAAGATACATTGTTTTTATGGACATGGTGAATGAGGAAACTTGTTTTGCTTGATTATACATGTTTGTAACCAGGGTTTTGTTTTTCTTTCTCAATTTTTCTGAGGGGGAGGGTAGGAGAGAAAGCAGAATTTTGCTGATTTAAACAATTTAATTTTTAAAACTGTACAAGAATAACATGGACGGCCATTCAATTTGGTTGCCATTTTATCAAAAGAATTTTATGGAAGAGAAATGGTCTAAAGTGGCACAATGACAAAAATATAATTCTTTTTATGGTTTAAAAATAAATGTATGTATTATTTGTAAAATGATATCTTGGAGCCAAAGTTTACTTCTGTGAATTCTGAAATTATAAAACAAGGAATGGGAAGAGGAAGGGAAGAAGCATTTATTAAGTACTTACTATGTGCCATGTACTGTGTTAAACCCTTTAAAAATAGTATCTCTTTTGATCATGAGGAAACTATGATAGACAATTAAGTGATTTGCCCAGGGACACACAGCTAGTAAGTGTCTGAATGAACTCAAGTCTTTCTGATTCCAGACCTAGCATCCTACATTATGTTCTATCCTACTTGCCCCCCAGGAAACTAATGGAAGTAAACAGAAAACTATGACTTGGCTACACAATATTCAAGGTGAAATAACTAGCATTTAATTAATGAGGACCAAAATGAATCTGAGTAGTCGTATTAGTTTTGTTCTTATTCCAACAGATATCAATTACAGATATGAGATAGCCTTAGATCACCAAACATAAAATAAAGCAATTCTTTGTAAATCAGATGGGATTAAATATATCAAATTCATGCCAAACAATAGTGTGAACTAAGACACAGAGGACTGTTTAAGCTAATGGAAGTTTAAAGAACATAAAATTATTATTTTTAAATAAGCAATTATTTTAAATAAAATGTCAATCATTCCCTTCGTAGTATAAAGAAAGAACAATGAAATAAATACCAACAAAATATTGAACACATTAGTCAGTGATTTTCCTTCTACTGAGGGTGGGGGAATGGAAACCCTCGTTTTTCTCTCCCTCCTATCTCTATAATTCTCCCATCCTACTGGGATGCATGGTCAAACAAAACAAATTCTCACACTGGCCATATCTGAAAATATACATCTAATTCCGCATCTTGAGTTCATCTTCAGGAGGTAGATCAAATGTTTTATCATCAGTTCTCTGGGATCATGGTTGGTGATTGCACTGATCAGGATTCCTGGTCTTTCAAAGGTGTTTGTTTTTGCAATGTTGTTATTTCACAAGTAATTCTCTTGGTTCTGTTCAATTCACTCTTTATCAGTTCAAACAAGTCTTCCCAGGTTTCTCTAAAGCTTCTCTTTAGCCTTATCTTACCACACAACAATGTTCCGATATAGTCATATACCACAATTTATTTAGTTATTCCTCATCTTATAGGTATGCCCTCATTTTCCAGTTCTTTTCTATTACAAAAAGTGCAACGAGAAATATATTTGCACATATGGGTCTTTTTCTTCTAGTAAAGGTCTACTAATAGTGTTCTGGGGCCAAAGGGTATGAATAGTTTCATGATTTTGGGGTATAGTTCGAAAATGGTTTCCAGAATGGCTGGACTAATTCACAGCCTTACCAAGGCATCAATCTGCCTATTTCCCCACATTCCCTCCAACATTATTAGTCAGTGTTCTTTTTGTTATTTTTGCTAGTCTGGTGAGAGTGAGTTAGAACTTCTTTAATGTGTGTTTCTTTATTAGTTATTCTGATCATTTTCTCCTGAAGTTGTTAATAACATTGAAAACAGTTCATTCATATCATTTGGCCACTTATCTTTTGGGGAAAGGCTCTTGTTCTTCAGCCTTATAGTTTGAGACCTGGTACTTGTAGCTCCTTCCTACATTTAAAAAATTTTTTCTCTCTTAAGATGCTCGTTCCTCCCCATCCCCAAGATTATTGTTGTTGTTGTTTTTATGTTTTTGTTGTTATCATTATCATTATTGTTTTTGTACTGCCATGAAGCATATGGGTTAAATTCCTGGAAGCCTAGGGAAGACAAGGGGGAACCTAGATCAAAATGTAATTAACAAGTGTTTAGCAAAATAAATTAAAAAATAAAACAAAAATAATACTAATTTGTAGTTTTCTAAGTCAATATGTAGAAGGTGGATTATATAATTCTATTTGAATTTGACACTACTTCTATAAAGTAATCCTTTGGTAGTTTGATTGTTACAGTACTGAATACGTAAATTAATTCAGGCTCTATTGTCATTTTTATTACATTTTATTATTTATTTACCTGATTATTTAGATCTGACTTTATTTCTGAAAAGAATGTTTTATGGTTATATTGACATTGTCCCTGTGGTATCCAAGGAAAAAGACTCTGAAATATTTTGTATACTTCCAGTTATTTTGAGAATTTTTCTACTTCTCCAAAAATCCAGAAAAATCTAAAAATCAGAAATATGGATTTTAGTGATAATATACAAAAATACTGATGATTTATGTGAATTTCTCTTATGCTCTACAATGCTGTTCAAGTTATTGTTTCAATTGCGTTTTATGTGTCTCCTTTGTGCATTAGTGGTGCCAAACTCAAACAGATACTCTCTAGAGATGCATATTGACTTAGAAAACCACAAATTACCATTATATTGTTTTTTTAGATTTTATTTTGTTAAATATTTCCCCATCACTTTTTAATCCAGTTCCCCACTAGGTGTTAGACTGCGTATTTGACACCATTGCTCTACACAGATTATCCTATCATCTACTAAAATTTTGTTTCTTCTTTTCCTATGCTTATTTTTTCAATTTGCTATTCTTGTTCTATTGCTATAGCTAGCTTTTTTAGACCTACTTTATTAAATAATGACAACAATGAGCATCACTGCTTTACCCCTGATCTTAATGGAAATCCTTCTATAGTCTATCTCTATTATACTGTCATATTGATATTATCATATTATAATTATATGATACATATTATATTATAATTATATAATACATGTATTATCATATTATCAATATTATCCTACTGAGAAAAGGTCTATTTATTCCAATGCTTTCTAGTGTTTTTAACAACGATGGCTGTTAGATTTTGTCAAAAGCTTTTCCAACATCTATTCACATAATTGTGTGATTTTTCTTATTAATGCAATCTATTATGTGTATAAGTTTCTTTCTACTGAAACAACCCAACTTTTGTTTTCAGATCACCTTTATTTCTCAATATATTTATTTCCCCTCTCCAACCCAGAGGGCCATCCCTAGAACAGAGAATTAAACTGAAAGAGAAAAAAGAAAAATAGTAGGTGAGAAAGACTAACCAATAAATCAATCAACTCCAATAATATATGCTAAACTCATTTTATTCTTATTTAGGACCAAGCTTGGTCATTATAACATAATATAAGGTCTTCCTGGTTGTGACATTTGTTCTAATATTGTAGTGATATTCCATTATATTCATATGAAGCATTGTTTGTCTAACTATTCCTTAACCAGTGGACATCAATATGCTTGCAATTTTTTCTACTACTAAAAGTGATGATATACTTCTTGTGGCAGCAAAAAACTGGAAACAAGGCAGATTTGCACAACAAATTGTGGTACCTGAATGGAATGGAATATTACTATACTGTAGGAAATTATTAATATGATGAATACAGAGAAGCATGATAACATTTACATTTAACCAATGCCAAGTGAAGTAAGCAGACAGGAAAACAATATATTCAATAACTACAACAATACATATGAAAAGAATAACCATCACAAAACAGTTCAAAAAGAATGTCGCAAAATTATAAAGAACAAGCTTGGCCCCAAAGAAGAGACAGCTATGAGAAGACACTTACTCCTACACTCTTGTAAAGCTGGAGGGAGTTAGCAAGGATTCCATTAACGTGCTAATAGTGAATATAGAATCAGACTTTTAAAAAATGTATTTATTTGTTTTGATTTGAATTTTCTCCTTTTTCCTTTTCAAAGAAGTCTTTGTTATAAGGAATGGTTCTTGGTAATAGGGAAGAGGGCAAGATACAAGGGAAAATCCAAGAGAAAGAAAAATAAAATAGGTCAATAAAAATCTATTTCTCTTAAAACTAGAAAAGCATAAGATAAAGAGGAAACAAAAAAATTATTATAAATAAAAATAGTTTGACAAGTACTCTGGTGCATACTGTAACTTTTTTTCTATCCTTTATCTTGTTGGGACATATGGCTAGCAGCAGAAACTCTGGGTCAAAGGGAAAGGACATTTTATTCATTTTTCTTTTTTACCATAATTCCAAATTGCTTTCCAGAATTGCTACACGAACCACAGCTACACCAGAGTATATGAAGGTGCCTGTTTTTCCAAAACTCCTCCAATTTTGAATATTTCAATCTTTTGTCATTATTACTAATTTCTGGATGCAAAATGATACTTCACAGTTATTCTGAGTTGTTTTTCTTATTACTAATAATTTCGAGCAACTGTTCATGTGATTGATAATAATTTTCAATTCTTCTGAGAACTGTTGTTTTATGTACTTTGACAACTTATCCATTAGAGAATGGCTTTTGATCTTCCACATTTGTATCAGTTCCTTATTAATTTTCAATACACCTCACCAAAGATATAGGATACCAAGATTTTCCCCCAATCTACTGTTTTCTTTCTTATCCTAGTTGTATCTATTTTATTATTTTAAAAGTTGAAATATTTTGGCAAAAAAAAAATTTATCTATATCATGTCATGGAACTTATTTGATCCCAAGCATAATATATTTGAGACCATATAGTCTCTTACCATACCTAAGAGTCAAAAATGGTAATAAAAGCACCTGTTTACCATTATGAAATATCTTTGTTATATTTAAGCTATGTTCAATAATAGTGCTTTAAAATAATAATACTCCTCTTTTATTGAAAAATTATAATTCAAAATACTTTAAAAATATAAAGTTGAAACATGAAGTATGATACTTACAAGATTTTCCATATCTGTGCGAGCCAACATGTATGTCCTCACATTACTATTTTGATGCAGTAACATATACAAAAGAAGAGTTGCTTGATCAGACTTCTGCTGCTCACACAGGGCTGTATACAAACTATTAAAGTTAATCTGGAAAGCATGTGGATTTGAAGAGGGAAAAGCAGTGTTATCTGAAATAGAGAAAAAACCACATTGTATAAAGTAATAATGCAACAGCTTTCTGTGGAATGTTTATAATAATGTTTAAGTATATTTTGGTCTGAGAAAAAAATTCATTACATTGGCACATAGTGATTTTGTTCTTTCTATATAGATCGGCCCAAATGCATATGCTATGGGGAAAAAAATATCATCTTGGCAATCCTCTCAAAGCAAAAAAGGAAAGCCCTGGGCTTGGATCTAGATTATGCCATTTATTAGATATGTGACTCTGGCCACATTTCTTGAGTTTACCCATTCTAACTTTCAGTTTTCTTATCTACACAACTTTAGGAAACACTCCTGTACTGCCTACTTCAAGCAGGCATTTCTTTTTGTAAGGAAAATGCTTTATAAATGGCAAAACTCTTTTAAAATGTGAGCTAATTATCCTAACTTAACTGTTAAATTAGATTTTGAAGTTATTCTAAAAAGTCACCATCAGAACCAAACATAAACATAAACAAGTACAGAATGTAAAGGTTTTCATGTAGCCAATGACTCTGAGGGTTAGTTAATCTAAAAAGTATTTATTCTTGAAATATAGGAAAGAATACATGGGAAGGAAAACCTGATTTTTAAAATGCCTGAAATTACCTTTCTGGTTTTCATTATTCTCTTTAAGCCATTCATGAAGATAATGGCTAGAATATTAAGTTTTTTAAAAACAGTATAGCTGGCATTAAAAATTAGATTGAAATGGATACGTCTATCTTTGGGTCGTATGACAGTAACAATTTGTCCTAAGCCTAGAAGCTTAGAAAATTCCTCATTGTTTTATGCAAGAAAATTTCATTAACTTCAAAGAGCTACTCCTCATGTTTTCTGAGAAAACTACCTAAACATTCTATACATAAAGATGCTTAAACATATATCACAGCCCATTTAAGATGATTCCTATAATTCCAACAGTGATAAATGACTCTCTACTTAATAATTAATTGATTTATCTTAGAAATCCAAGTTGGTTAATTAAGGAGTCAGAATGGATGGCTGGATGCACTTGATTGACAAAAAGTCATGATCTTGCCTGACAATAACATTACTTTATGTATTACTTATTACTATTTACCATTTATTTATTGCTATCTACTTATTTTGATCATAATTTCTGTTACTTTTCAAAACACCAAGAGATATTTTTAAAGGACATAAAATATGGGACCACTACAAAGAATAGAAAGAATGCTTTAACATTTTCACTATGTCTTCTGATAAAGATATGTGAGCCAAAACAAATTTAATCTTCCACAGAGCAGTCCTATGCCTCTCAAGTTCTTCCTTCTAACTTTTAGATGTATGTGGAAAGCATACTGAAAACTTCCCTTATTCCATTCTTTATTCATTTCCCCTACCTTTTCCTTTACAACTTAAAACAAGGGACATCTTCCCCAATCTTCATACAGAATTTTTACCACTTACAATCACTACTTCGTGTGACTATCTGGCTTTAAACCTTAAGAGATGAAGACGTAGGTGGATTACATTTTATGAGTACTCAAAGGAGGCTACTACAGGCTACTTCATGATTCCTTGAAAAGGTGTGGGGTGGGATGAAAGTTCTCATCCACATAGGCCAATTACCATGATTCCATCTGTTGGCACACTTCATTATCTTGTGGTAGACACAGGTAATAGAGATGAGGATCTGAACATCTCTATCATCTCTCTACTGCACCTCCTCTACTCCTTCAATTCTCCCACCCTGCATACACACATCTGGTTACAAATGGGAAGGTACTTGACCTCTCGGGTCTCAGTTTTCTTATGTCTAAAATAGGAGAAAGGGAGTACATAGTCTGTAAGGTCCCCATCCTGTTTAGCATTCTATTTATAAATTAGGATTACTGGTGGAGAAATGAACTTAATTTACTTGGATGGAACTGAAAGCTCAAAGGGTAAGAAAAACCTTTATCGTATGAAGACTGATTCAAGCTAGCATTTTTCTGGTTATGGGACTACAGAAAAATCATTCTGGCAGAAACAGAACTTGAATTAATTTCATTGTAAATATGGATTGATTATTCCTTAAATCTTACTTAGACAATATTTTCTAATGTTGCAAAGTTCCATGTTGGTTCATAATTGCTTCAATATTAACTGGCATAATAAAAACTAGCTGTCATCAAAAATCATGAAAAACTGAGAAAAGCACTGTTTAAAATCTAAAATCCTAGCAAGAACCAGACCATAATCTGTCCTGGAAATTTAGATTAATTAGTTGTAACTTTATAAGCCAACTGCACAAAAATGAGTCAAGGTGAAAAAATATTCAGTAGTACTCTTGAACTTTTTTCAAGAAAGCTAGAAAACTATGCTTATATTTATAGATGCCAGGTAAAAGCTATTTTTACAATGTTTAGAGGGAAAAGCTAATACCTCTATTAGCATATTATGTGTTTCTGTTACTCTAGGAACTTTAGGCATTTCACTACACAATATAAAAACCAAATTTTCATACAAGATAAATATGAAAGCCCAAATCATACACTTTGTATTACAACCAGAAGAAAGGAACCCCAGTCATGTATTTGAAACCACTTCATTTTATGAATAAGGAAACCAAGAGGCTGCAAGACAAGAAGTGACCTGCCAAAGGTCACACAACTAGTTTGTGGAAAGCCAGAGTCAGAACCTCTGTATACGGACAGCTCATCTGAAGCTCTCTCCACTAAACCACCATGGTACCCAGCTGCCCTCAGAAAAAGAGAAACTGTGTGGTGAAAAACCACACAGAGCAAAAATTAAGCAGGAAACATGAAGCAACCATATATTAGAAATTATTTGAAAGCAACACATCAACAAAGAATTCCTGTAGGTTTTAGAATACATATTTTTAATGCACTGCAATAAAAACAGCAATTTAAGCCAGTCTTTCTTATAGTAATATTTTTTAAAGGGTTCATCCTAACAAAGCACAGCTTACTACTACAGCATGGAACCCTTTTGCTTAGGTTCACAATCATTCTTATGAATACACTAGACCAGATGAAGTCAATATGGGTATGTATCTTTTCCCACAAGATAAGAAGGCAGTATGGGATAAAACAGCTTAGCAAGAAAATTCTAATACATTTGAAGTGCCACTGTTTGTTCTATGTTTGAAGGGAAAACTGTTAAGACCCTAAATTTCATATTGAAATGAGAAACTTATGGGTCCAGATCACATATTAATCAAATATTAAATACAACAATAAAATGACATAACCTAAAGTGTGAATGTTACTGCTATTCTGTACTATTCACAGATCTACTTTACTAGTGGATATATCCAAAGCTGACTTAATTTTACTATTACACAGAATGTTGTCTTCAATTTTACTATTACTCAACAAGGTACAAGAGTAATTCAAAATATTTAAAGTGAATTGAAAGAACGACAGTCCTCAAATCAGGTTCATGTTACTACATCAATAGAGGAGATTTAATTTAGTAGTTTTTAAGATTTCTCATTATTATGATTGAATTGCAGAGTTAAATCACCAGTACCAGAAGTAAAGATGATGGAGAACAAAACAAAATTAATAGAAAAGCATTACAAACCTTGTGTGTTCTTAAAAGACATAATGGCTTGTCGGTAGGGGTTTGGTGTATCAGGGGCATCGGTGAGATTGGCCAGCACAAGCAGCAGCAGAAGGCTCTGACTGGCGAGAGGTGAAGACTGTTCCTGATGAGGTGCTGGTTTACTTCCTACTCCACCCAGTGTGAAGACTGTCCAAAGCCCAGCTAAAAAGGAAAAGGTGGTGTTTTAAGTCATACCTTATTGAAGAACACAAACATTATGCCATGCAACAATTTTATAATCAGAATTTTTTTTTTAATTTAGGGAATTTGACTTCACAATATTTTTGTATCATTCCACTCCGCTTTTTCTGAACAATGAAAAGACAACCAATAAACAATTCAATTTAGTTAGGATATCTGAAGATCTAGATTTAGTAGTTCTGTCTCTTTGATGAAGTACAATGCTTAAATCAACAGGGGAAGACAGGATCCTAAATTGCAGTGCTGAAGTGGTCAAAAAGAAAAAGAGATCCCTCCCCAAAAAAAAAAGAGACCCAGAGCCTCAGGAATACAACTGAACAAATTTTAAACCAAAGTACTAGAAGCAGGGGTGTCAAACTCCAATATAAAGGCCACTAAACTGTACGTAAGGATCCCTGTGGGGCACAAATTGACTTAGAACCCCACATATTAACATTGTCTATGTTCTACTGTATCTTTATTTATTTTGTTAAATATTTCCCAACTACATTTTCATCTGTTTCAGCCACACTCATGAGTGTTGCAAGCAATGTGGTCCACAAAGTGCATGTTTGACACCTTGAGATTAAACAAGCTCCTAGAGATGAAAAAGTCCTTCCCTATATCTCACTTAAATTTCTCCTAAGAAATTGGTTCCTTCCAAATGAAATCAATTTTTAAAAGGCAGTTGTTAGAGATACTAACTTTAATAAGGATCACTAACATCAAAAAATATTGATTTTTAAAAGCTAGATCAATTTTTAATAGGAAAAACTTTCATATGAAAGCACACTATAATCCAAAGATATTTGGAAATAAAAATAGATAATGTTCTTGACACGCATTTTCTCGGAGTATAACTTGTTAACACTGAATTAAATAAAATTAAGTTGATGAGACAAAGCAATGAATATTTTTAACTGTATTAGAAAATTTTTATTTTTATCTCTTTTTTCCTATTTTGATCACTAAAACTAAACAGCTATAATGCACCCCCCACCAACCAACACTAAAATGTTAATTGCACAACCTATGTCTTCTGTTACCTTAAAATCTGTATTGTTATCTGACTTTTAGTTTTATTGAGGTTGTTACTTGTATTAAGTCTGAAAACTATAATAAAATTTCAAAAGGTCTGAAAGTTCTGACAAGTTAAGACCATACAACTATGTTCTGAACACAAACAAAAGTCAAATTTCTTGGATAAAATGGTTTTAAGAATTCTTCTCAGTAATTTCTTATTATGATAATGATAATCCTTCTACGGTCATCTAAATAAAAAAATACGGCCCAAACTGAATAATTAAATGGAAGCATAGTTTAATGACTTCTCTCTCATTATTCCTGATAAGAATACATTGCCTGGCATTTTATGCATCGCCTTTGTCTAGAATTTACTGTAAATTCCAGTAAAGGGGTACAGGTTATGAGCTTTTTATATTCACTTTTCATCAGTTTCTCTTTTTAAACCAAGTAAGCTAATAATGAAAGTTTCTCTTAAAATGCAGAGATAATTTTGGGACACCATAAGCATTCCGTTTTAAATTACTTCAAGTTCCAGTTTTAGAAATTAGGCACAAGTGATTCTATCTAAAGTAGATACTGATCTACTTTACTACATTAAGATTTATAACTTCCCTCTTCTATTTAATGTTTGGACTTAAAAAAAAAAAGAACACCACATCCAACAGCTTCTGGTTTATGCACAAAATTTAAAAATCTATTACCTTATTCAAAAATTTAGGAGCACAATAAAAAACTGTCATAGCACATTATCATATTTAAAAAGGAGCCACACTGCCAGCAAGCCCTGTAGAAATTCAGCCAGGCACCTCCTCTGCTGGTGCTACAGCCACTACCTTCTCAAGAGACACAGCTATTAAAGACCTAGAAAAGAAAGTTCTTATCACCAAACTCCTTCATCATGATAAACACTTCAAGATCAGAAATAGATATGGTGTATCAATAGAAACGATACTGAAGAAGATGAGAAGTAGAGTGTGTTCAGGGAAGAATAGTACCTCTGGCATGAGAGCTGTCAAACCCTTTTCAAGGCTGCTCATCCACCTCTGGTGTCCACCTATCACCCAACTCTCACCTGTGTCTTCAAGAAACTGTAGTACGCATAGGAGCCACAACCTGGTAAACCATTTTGGCAGATGGGCCATACCAGGCTGAGGGTAAATGAGGGGTCTCAAACCCTTCAGTGAGTTAGAAGGTTGTCTAGCCTGAGCATGTGAAGACTTCCCCTGGCAGAGTGAGTAGATGAGAACAATTTGTTCAAAAGACTATGAAGGCAGTTAAAGCATGCACTGTGGAGCCTTAGAGCTTGGTTAGACCTCAAAGACACCAAGATCATCCACTGCATTCTGAACTATCACCAGTCATCTTGACTTTGTCTCGCCACTGGACTTTGATAACTCTGGAAGAGAGAGTGAGGCCAATGACTTCATACAACTCTGCCTCATTTACATCCAATTTATGTGCAAATCAAAAGATATCACCCATACCATTTTACCATTTTTACCTATCTCAAAGTTCTGTGATGGGAAGCAAGTGATGAAACAGCAGGAGCAGATACACTGGGAGCTGTAGTGACAACCAGGAACACAGACGGCCCAGACCACATCACTGGAGGCAGAAGTGAGATTTGGCAGCCTCCTGTGTGTCTGAGCAGCCTTTTTGAAGGACTGCACTGCCGACCTCCTGGCGTAAGGAAGGGGCTAGAAAAAGTGCCCTAAAAATTTTCAGCTTCACTCAACCCTGGCCTGCTTACTGTAACAGGCAGGGATCCCAACCTGCAGTCAAAACACAAAAAAAATGTACAAAAACTATTGTAAGGATGATTCCACTCATCATAGGTTCATGGAATGTGTGCACATATATGGACAACATGAAATCCAGCAGACCTGAAAGACAAGCAGCTCTTGTACGAGAACTCAGCAGGTATCACATCCAAATAGCTGTCCTAAGTGAAATAAGGCTGGCAAATGAAAGCCAGCTTACTGAAGCCAAAACTGGATACACATTTTTCTGGAGTCGTCTCAGTGAATGGGAGTGCTATGAAGCTGGTATAGATTTTTCAAAAAAACTAATCTAGTCAATAAGCGTGTATGCCTACTAAAGGAGTGAACAAGAGACTCATGACAATGAGAATGCCATTTGCAGGAAAACACCATGACACCATTATCATGCTCCCCCCCATGACAAACCCTGATGAGGTCCAAAGAAAAACTTTATGAAGACCTGGAGACCCTCATCATCAATGTGCCAAAAGAGGACAAAGTTATAATCTTAAGTGACTTCAATGCAAAAGTAGGCACAGACTACCAGACATGGCAGGGAGGGTTTGGGAGGAATGGAGTCAGAAACAGCAAAAGCAACAGTCAATTACTACTGAAGATTTGTGTGTCTTATGACCTTCTCATCACCAATACTGTATTTTATTTAACTAAATGTAATAAAACTTTGTGGATGCACTCTTGGAGCAAACCTTGGTATTTAACAGACCACGTGATTATCAGGAGAAGAGACAGACAGGATGTGAGAGTGACAAAGGCAACATACGGCACAGGGCGCTGGACTGATCATATGCTTATCCTCCAAGCTAAATATTCACATTTAACAAAAGCAGTGTCCCCAAGGCAAGACGAACTGCCAGAAGACTTAATGCAACAGATGAGAGCTCTTCTATGAGCAAGAACAGTTAGTTGCTCACTTGGAGGGAAAGCTAAGCCAACACACAGGTGACAACAGTGGAGCAGAAAAGGAGTGAGCAGCTTTCAGAGATCTGGTGCACTACATTTACTCATCTGGGTCAGAACACTCACAAATAGCAAGATTGGTTTGATGAAAATAATGGGGAAATTCAGAAGCTGCTAAATGAAAAACAAGAGTTCCACAAGTTTTATCAGTAGAGTAGTTCATCCATTTCTAAGAAGGCAGCATTTAATTCCATTGCAGTAAAGTGCAAGCAAAGTTTAGAGAGATGCAGGATTCTTGGCTCAGTAAGAAGGCAGAAGAAATTCAGTTTTATGCTGATAGTAACAATCCAAAGTGCTTTTATGATGCCCTGAAAGCTATTTATAGGCCAAAGACCTATGGTGCATCTCAACTACTCAGTGCTGATGGAGCCACATTGATTAGTGATAAGGACATTAACCTAGAGAGATGCACAGAACACTTCCACGGTATTCTCAACAGACTGTCATCAAGCAATGCTGAAGCCATTAACCATATACCTCAGGTTGAAGTCAATCGCTTTCTAGCTAAATTTCCAACTGAAGAAGAGACTGAGAAAGCCATCAGGCTCCTCTCACGTGACAAAGTGCCTGGTGCTGACTCTATTCCAGGTGGGAGGTCCACTGCTCACACAAAACCTGGCCAAAATTTACTAGGTTATATGGCAAGAGGAGGTTATCCCCTAGGAGTTCAAGTATGCCTCCACTGTCCATCACTGTAACAGTAAAGGAAATAGATTTCCAGTGACAATCACAAGGGGGTCTCTCTCTTAGTTATTTGCTAGCAAGATTCTTGCCACAGTCCTCCTTAATAGGCTGATCCTTCACCTGGGAGCTGGTCATCTATCTGAGAGCCAGTGTGGCTTCAAAAAGGGCTGACGGATGGCTGGTATGGTGTTTGCTGCCCAACAACTCCAGGAGAAATGTCAAGAGCAGAACAGAGATCTGCACATAACACTTGTCAATCTGACCAAGGCCTTTGATACTGTCAGTCATGAGGGCTTGTGGAAAATTATGTCAAAATTTGGTTACCCAGAGAAGTTCATCAGTATTGTACATCAATTTCACGATGGCATGCTTGTTCTGGTTCTAGATAAGGGACAACGCTCTTATACTTTTCCAGTCACCAACGGAACGAAACAAAGCTGTGTGCTTATTCCCACACTTTTTAGCATGATGTTTTTAGCAATGTTGTCACATGCCTTCAACTAGGACAAAAATGGCATCAGCATCAGCTGCTGT